TTGCTTCTGGTTATGGGCTTAGCTTAATATGAGTGTGTCCTGAGTGAGGGATTTATGGAGTTGGACACTGGATTCTGTATATATCTTTCAATGAAACGCCCTATACCTCACCTGATAAGTGCAAAGACAATTTGCAATTAAAATTAGAATAATGATAATTACACTACTCCTTCCAACACTACTTCCACACTGTAAGCGAGAAGTGTTGGCTCCCTTGATAAATCACATATTTTCAAAATAGTTAAAAGAGAATTGGACCCCACAATTTTCTCTCGTATATTGTAGTAGTTTAGCAGTAGTAGTGTAAATATCCCTATTCTAAGGGGTGTTTGGTTCACCAAATTTATAGAAAATTTTATGGAAACTGTCTTACAATGACATTTTTGTAATTAAATGGTGTCTATAGGTTTCCTAAAACTCATTTGGGTTTACCAAATGTTTAGAGTGATAGATTTCTATAAAGTAAAGAAAAGGGGTATATTTAGTAGAAACCCACTTCCTCAGGAAAAGGAGTGACAATCTGACAAAACTCACTTTATCCCATTAAAATGTTACCCTTTTCTCTACTTGGTGGACACCTTTTCCTCTTTTCTTCTTTCTCCACTTTATCCCATTAAAATGTTACCCTTTTCTCTACTTGGTGGACACCTTTTCCTCTTTTCTTCTTTCTCAAGTGAAACAAACAAAAAAATACTTGGTGGACACCTTTTCCTCTTTTCTTCTTTCTCAAGTGAAACAAACAAAAAAAAGGGGAGAAACCTCTTCTTATTTTTGGGCTTCCTTATTTTGTGGTTTTGAACCAAACTAGGAAAGGTACTCAAGATAGAAACCCCCAATTTTTTACACAACCGAAATAAATTTCATAAAAATTTGTAGAAACACTTGGAAACTATTTTTTGTCCACTTCTCCTGTTCCTTTTTTTAAATGATATTCGAACCATACATGCCCTAAAACTAAGAGAAATAGGATGGCATGGCTAGGTTCCTTTTTTTAAATGATATTCGAACCATACATGCCCTAAAACTAAGAGAAATAGGATGGCATGGCTAGACTTTAATGGTGTAAACTAGCAGTAACTTTTTATAACTGGAAGAAAACATGGAAAAACAGGAAATTTTTAAAAAAAATTGTAAACAAGTTTACTCTTAATAGGCGATGTTTTTCTTGACAATTACCATAGTCTATTTATTTACGTGCAATAATAACAGCCATACTGAAGCATCTACAAGCTTATATTTATGTATATGTTAGATATCTCACCATTATAATTTATAAGGCCCTAGGCGATAATTTTAGTGATCAAAGATAACAAAGAACATTTTAAGATTCAATACTCTGTCCTTCAGCTTGATTTGCAATTTCTACAAGAACCGAAGAAAGAGAAGCTTAAAGTATGATTGTGAAGAGGCATATTAGAGGTTTCGAGCTAGTTTTAAATTTAGTTTGATACAAGTTTGTTAATTTATCCATGCTTTATTTCATGTTGGTAAAAATTTTCAGCTCAAGTAATACTAGTGTTTGATAAAGTGAAGTTTAATATGGGGAACTTTTATTGAGAATTCTGCTGATGCAACTAAATTGATACAATATTTCTTCTCTCTCTCACACTCATATTGATCATCATGAAATTACTTGGTTATATCTAGCTGGTTTTTTCCTTTTTGCAAAAGATTTATCAGTTTGTTGCTTACCACCGCAGGCATGAGTTGTGGCATGTTCTTAGGGTAGCCAATAAGTTGGATTCTATGTTGATGTATAGCTAACATAAAGCTAAGTGGCTCATTGAGATTGCTTCTTAAGCAGCCACTTACTAACATCTAGCTAGTTTTAAATTTCCTTATTTTGTGTTCAATTTTTTAGGGGAATTGATATAGTGTTTGGAACGCAGAGAGATCTCCAATGGAGGCGGAATATT